CACACTAAACCACTGGGGAAGATAAACTCCAATAATAAATTCAACAATTAACCTCAAATTCTTCAGCACTTTGCCTTTCAATTCGTGTTTGGAAATCCAAATCCTGCAGAAACGAAGAGCTGTAGTTAACCAACGGCTGTGACTGACAGGTCCAATCTCCAAGAGAGCCAATGACTGAGGCACTTCTCCTGATCTTATTGCTTGGGCAATACGATAAGCATAGGATTGATCTGTGCTGAGATCTTTGATGACTCCTTCAGACAACGCCTGAAGGGGAGGGCCAACTTCGACCTTTGGAAAGGTTGTATTTATTTCTAGTTGTGTTGCTTCATCCAGCATGATGCCAAGGGGACCTGACCACTTGTTGTTGCTCTTTGTAGGACCATCAAGTTCCTGGATGAGATGACGAAGAGGTAGCTCGCCTGTATGTAAATCACATACAATCCAAACAAGTCTTCTTCCTAGTTTTTTCTCTAAATGCGTCATTACACCCCCCTGCCATCCGGTGTTCACTGCAGTTGAATCTCCACCAACAGCCTGCAGTGAACTGCCAAGTCCTCTCTCCTGAACCCAACATAAAATATGATCAGCAATGACCTCTGCATGTTTCTTCCTTTCTACTTCAGTTTCGGGAGCAAAGTGAAACAAAAACCGACCACCAGGCTCAGAACAGACAGAGTAGTGTTCTTCTTTGATGAGACCTGGAAACTTTCTGTTCACTCCCTCTACTTCTAGCAAAACTTTTGTGTCATCTATTCTTCCATCAAACAAAAGACAGGAGAGCCCTCCCTCGCTTAAATCTTTTTCATGCTGATCAGATATTTCCTTCATTATTTTTCTTGTGCTCTTCTAATTTTATTATGATCTATCACCAAAGATACATCCTCTCGGCTGATGAGGCCTGCATCTATCCAAGCGGCAGTTGCAATTTCTGCAGCCTCACGAAGTCCAGCATGGTGGCGAATACTAGCTAAAGCAATGTTTGAAATATTTCTTGTGTTGTATTTCATTTTCTTTGGTAAAGGTTCAGATGGCTCTTTGGAACTATCATCTGATGTTGCTTCCTGTTCATCAGAAGAACTATCAAAGAAGTGATAAACATCTTGACACAGCTCTTCCTCTCTTTGGATGGCTTCTTCACTCTTCATTTCTTCTTTTGTTCCCTCTCTCGGATTTGTTCTCTCTTCTTGGCATTAGCAATCTGCTTCTTTGTTTCTGAATAATCTATTGAACCCATTTGCATACTTCCTTGGCCTTCTGCCTTTGTCCTCTGTGCCTTTATAAATTCAAGCTCTAAAACAGGGATCTTCTTTTCACGAGGACAACCACAATCAATGTGGGAATTATTTTCTCTCTTACCTGAGTGAGAACAGTTGGATTCAGAACATAATTGTATGGATCATTTGCAGGTCAAAATGTCAAACAGAGTATCAAGTGTGTGCAGAAATTCATTTTTCCTGGCCAAGTTTCCTTTACCAAGTGATGTTTCAACTGCTTTGTGCCATAATTTCGTTAGTTTTAGCTCAATAGTTCGACACTGATTAATCACAGGTGGTTTGAATAGTGCATTAGCTTTTGTCCATTGATGCAGAAGAGGGACTATCATGTCATTTATGAGTTCTTTATCTGTATAGTTCCTTCTGTCCTTTGCATTTTTTTCTCAAGGAGTAACCCTAATCTTAGCATGTCTCTCACTGTTGGAAGTTCTGATACAGGAAGCTCCTTCCCTTTACCAACTAGCAGGCTCAAGTGGGTTGACAACTGACTTCTTGTCTTCAATTTTGACATCTTCACACCATCTGACAAATAGAAAAATATTTCAATGTTTCATAATTCAATTGTTGTTTCAAAAAATATCAATTTGTTTATCAAAAATGCTGTAACAGAAATAACATAATAATTTCTTAGAACATAATGTTTTATACAATGATATAAGTAACTGCGACAATCAATATGCCCTACTTACAATAATTAAAATGTAGAATTCGTCTGGTAGAGTAGGTGTAAGTGCAATGAGAGCAAACCACCGTCTATGATATCTAGAAGGAGAGTGAGCCGGGCGCCTTATCCTCACGCTTGGTACAAGTCAAAACAAGAATTAAACTGTCCCACACGGAGAGCCTGTTCATGTTCATGTTCTGACATGCATATTGTACACAAGTTATAGAACCATAAAATACTCCATAATCCATATGCTTACATGAGATTAGTTAATATCAAGTGAATAATTCTAATCAAGTCTCATTAATTTGTTGAAATACTGATATTTGAAACTTTAAGGTATAATTCATGTAGGTGAGGGTTATTTCAATTCATTTTTGTTTGCTAATCTCAAGTTTAGACATAAAGAGGCACAATATTTTGACTACCAAATTTGATTTTTAACATGTTGACAAAATTGACACACCCCAACACACATGCCTTACAACCCTGACCTCCTGGGGGGGGACACACACACATGCCCTACAACCCTGACCTCCTGGGGGACACACACACATGCCTTACAACCCTGACCTCCTGGGGGACACATTGATGCCCCATACAGCCCCTGACTCTGGGGGACACACACACATGCCTTACAAATTCTGACCTCCTGGGGACACACACACACACATGTGTCCCACAGCCCTGACCCCTGGGGACACACACACACACACACACATGCCCCACAGCCCCTGACCCCTGGGACACACACACACACACATGCCCCACAGCCCTGACCCCTGGGGGACACACACATGCCCTATAACCCTGGGACCTCCTGGGGACACACACACACACACACATGCCCTACAGCCCTGACCCTGGGGGACACACACACATGTCTTCTACAGCCCCTCTGACCCCTGGGGACACACACACATGCCCTACAGCCCTGACCCCTGGGGGACACACACACATGCTCCCATAGCCCTGACCCCCTGGGGGGGGACACACACACATGCCCTACAGCCCTGACCCCATGGGGGGACACACACACATGCCCTACAACCCTGACCTCTTGGGGGACACACACACATGCCCATATTCTGACCCTGGGGACACACACACATGCCCTACAGCCCTGACCCCATGGGGGGACACACACACATGCCCTACAACCCTGACCTCTTGGGGGACACACACACATGCCCTACAACCCTGACCCCCTGGGGGACACACACATGCCCTACTGAGTTGCTTATACACTATGAATCTATGTCATGGGTTATAGAATAAATTGTGATCATTAAAAAGTGTAAAATTATTATAGAAACTTAGTTATATTGAATAATGCTTAGCCCCTCAGGATCAAGTGGACAGGGTGGAGGGGCTATTATAATGTTTTTAATAGTGGCATTGCATGACATCATTGATCTTTGGTTAATGAAATATTAACAAATCAAAGAATGGAATGCAAAACAAGCAATACTCAGCCAATGAGATATAGAGTATATGATGTAATGCATAAACATGTAGAGTGCGGCCACTATACTCAGTATACTGGCTCATCGTCCTTGGGCAGCAAACCCATCGACCCTCGAGGGTCAATTATTGTTATATATTGTTAAACACTTCTCCTGTCATGGTCACCCTCCCCCACCTCACCCACCCACAAATTATTCTCAATGGATCTATGTGATTTACATAGGTCGCCTAACACAATGGGAAAAAAAACAGTTAAAGGAAAAAAAATGGAAGTGAAACTTCATGTAATAAAACATTCTGAAAAAGGCCAAACACCCTCAGTCACTGGTAGTGTTGGGCTTCAGTCGCTCAACAACCGGAAAAATTTTGAAAGACAAAGTGAAAATTCTTGAACATGTAAAAGGATTTATACCAATGCCGTCAACTGTGATAACTAAACAAAGAAGTGGATTGTTAACTGAAATGGAAATATTGTTAGTGATATGGGTGGAAGATCAAAATCACGGGATTTGCATCAAAGTCTCGCCTTGATTCAGGAAAAACCGAAAAGCTTGCACGCTGACTTAAGGCTAAACGTGGTGGTGAAAGTGATGGGGGAAGATTTTGTTGCTAGTAGGAGCTGGTTTAACCAGTTCAAGGTAAGGGCAAATGGTGTTTGGAAAAAACACTGCCCATAGTTTGTCCATGATTTCAGGGGCTCTGAAAATGATGTTGGGTAAGTAACACAGACAGTGGTAGACCTCAGGAACCAACTCCAGCTTGATATTCAAGAGGAGGATGTCACACATTTGCTTGAGTCTCATGCTGAAGAATTAAGCAATGAGAACCTGATTAAACTGGAGAAGCAAATTTTGTCAGAGGATGTAGAGCAAGCTGAAACTCCAGAACCGAAGGGATTCATTACTAAAGAAATAACAGATGGTTTCAGGCTTATTGAAGAAGGATTGATTAAATTTAAACAGAGAGATTCACCAAGATTCATAGAGGTATTACTGGATGTCTACGATGCTACAGAGATTTATGACGAAAAGAAGAAAGTGTCAGTTCAACCATCCCAATGAAACCTCTGTCACTCCTACAAATGCCCATCTCTACAATGTAAGTGTTAAACTTTAATTTTTAGTTTCCTTTACTGTATTTTGTCATTCAATTTCTTCTTTTCTCTTAAATTAAGTGATTCCAGCTGTGTAAAAGGACTTGGGCTATGATATAGTGCACACAAGATGTGTTCCAACTTACGTACATTTCTGACTTAAGAACGTCCTCAGGAATGGAACTTGTTCTTAACCCAGGGAACCCCTGTACATGTCTTTTTGCACACTGGGGCGTTGATCGATGAATCACTCTACCGCAGTTCTCAGGTTAAGCCACCCAGAGTTTAAATCGTGGAGCATAAACATAAAATGTCGACTGAAGTGGAGTGCAGGAAAGCATGCACTGTCAAGTGACAAAAACAGCAGATTAAGGAAGAAAGTGAGACACAAACATACCATAACAAATTACAGGCCCTTGTAGTCGTATGCTATACAAAATATAGTACAGTATACCATTAAATCTCCTTATTACCGTTAATAAAAACATGCACAACACACCTGCCCTGGAGAGGCGCCCCATTCTCGATGTAATCAACATACAGATCAATCAAGGCCACAACAGCATTAGTCGGGAAGCTATCTACGTGTATCATTAAGACTCCTATTAACTCCCCGGCAGCTCTCTCATTTCCGCTTGCTTCATTCCGCACTTGTTTCAATACATTTTCATAAATCTGAAAAAGAAAGATGAGATGTTAATAATAACATTAATAATAATTATAATAACAATAATACTGTGATGATGATAATGATAATGATAATAATAATAATAGATGGTCATTTGCTTCTCAAAAGCGCCATATGTTCTGTTATTCCATTTACACGTTTCTCGTTTTACGCTGACCTCCGCGGGTTCAATTGAGAGCGTAAATCGGGGTATTACTGTACATGAGATCCCACCATTGTATTATTGTCAGGTTCATTGTTAAGGAATGTGCTGAATATCCCACTGGAGTGTTATGGTACAGGGGTACCAAGTGACAGCACAAGGATCCCGCTTCCTCTATCAAGGAATAAACAATTAAAATTTAAATTGAAAAAAAAACCATTCAAATAAATTACTATCTTACAAGAATCCCTCCAATGTAAGTTATATTCACCCAGGTCGTTTGGGTGAAAAATTATGAGAAAAGCTTAGTCACTCTTAAGTAATGATAAATAAACACGCAGGCAGGCCTTCAGCGCCAGCTGTCAAATCTCATCTCAAATATATAAACAAACAAACGCCAGACATTCTTTACATATTTTCACCTCACCTCTTCCCACCTCGTGTTCAAAAGATGTAAAGATTGGTGATTTTATGTTTATTTTATATAATATCTCAGACTAAAGTTAGATAATATAATTGCATTGCTGGAAATCCTTAAAGATAGAGATTAATTTGAATATAAGCGTCATATATTTTGCTCAAGCTATAAAAAATGTAGTACATTAGTGTACAATACTGTAGTACATTTTATAAAAAGTTTTTCAACTGTATTTTTGGGTAGATTTACATAAATTTTTGTGCAAAGCTGGAGTGCACATGTACTAATTTGATTACAGTACTAAAATTGTTCTGTCTAGTGCAAATTATAGCATGTTTATATTCAAATTAATCAGTATGTTACAAGATTCCCAGCTATGTTAATTATATTCACCCAGGTCATTTCACTGGCTTTTTATAAGAGAGAAGCTTAGTCACTTAAGAACTGATAAATATACAGGCGTCAGACCTGGGCCTGTGCCAACTGTCAAACGTACTACCTCCCCTCCCCCTACGCCCCCTCACACCCTCTCTCTCCCCCATCTGCTGACGTTGCTGTAATCCTTGTAAAACAGTGAATAATTTTAATATAAACGTCGTGTATTTTGCATAAGAGATAAAAATTAATCACCTGTATCACATTACAGTGGTGATTTAAGAGTAAAAGTGTATATGTACGTATAAAGTATTCCACATACACGTAAGTACAAATAAAAAGTTTATGTGATGATCGGACAACGTCCATTTCGGTTAACGTCACGTTTCCAAGAACGTATCTGAGATTTTCAATCGCGATGACTGTGTGTGTGTGTGTGTGTGTGTGTTGTATGTGTGTGTGTGTATATATATATATATATATATATATATATATATATATATATATATATATATATATATATATATATATATATATATATATATATATATATATATATATATATATATATATATATATATATATATATATATATATATATATATATATACACACACAGTATTGTTTCCTATTTCAATTCAAGTTTCACTTAATCGCCTTATCATACGGTGCCTCGTCAAGAGCTGAACTTTCACTTAACACTTGATTTTTTCAATATACGTGAGTGTCCGTTCGAGACGCTTATTTTAGATTTGCCCCCTAATTCACCACCCTGCCTGACTGCCTGTTTAGCTCATAAATTACAGTAAATGTATCAAGGTAGAATAATTCTATATTGCTGGAATTTTATATAATTTGGTGATCATTTTGAATATAAACATCATATACTTTGCATTAAACATACAATTTTTAGATAAAAATTTTTCTCTAGGTAACTATGTTATCTTTTGTGCAAAATATATGACATTTATATTCAAAATATTCCTGGTCTTACAAGGAATCCAGCAATGTCAATTATATTATCCTAACTTTAGTTTGAGGTAATATTTATTAAAATTTAGTGGTTATCCCACACATCTCCTTGGGACGGTTGGTGGGGGGTGGGGGGGAGGGAGGGACCGACTGACCATCTGTTACCCTGTGAAGAATTATTTTTTTTTTTATTAACTGAAGATATTTGTTTTAGCTCATAAAATTCATACAAATTACCCGGTCTGAATATAATTTACATTGCTGGAATTCTTATAATTTGATGATCATTTTGAATATAAACATCATATTTTTGCATTAGACATACAAATTTTAGATAAAAATTTTTCTCAAATTAACTATGTTATCTTTTGTGCAAAATATATGACATTTATATTCAAAATATTCCTGGTCTTACAAGGAATCCAGCAATGTCAATTATATTATCCTAACTTTAATCTGAGGTATTATTTAATACTAAATGTTAAAAACTCTGGAAGGGAGGATTGGTGGGGGATGGGGGGGAGGGTTGGGACTGACCGCGCGGTTGGAAGAGGGGGGGGAGGGCAAGGTGGGGTACTTTGATTGACAGATAGTGTTGTGAAGATTATTTTTTTTTTTATTAACTGAAGATATTTGTTTTAGCTCATAAAATTCATACAAATTACCCAGTCAGAATATAATTTACATTGCTGGAATTCTTATAATTTGGTGATCATTTTGAATATAAACATCATATATTTTGCATTAAACATACAATTTTTAGATAAAAATTTTTCTCTAGGTAACTATGTTATCTTTTGTGCAAAATATATGACATTTATATTCAAAATATTCCTGGTCTTACAAGGAATCCAGCAATGTCAGTTGTATTATCCTAACTTTAGTTTGAGATATTATTTATTAAAATTTAGTGGTTTTCCCACACATCTCCTTGGGACGGTTGGTGGGGGGTGGGGGGGAGGGAGTTGAGTCCATTATTTGAATGGACATTAACTTGGCGACTGTATTTCTCTATTTCTCTTAAGTATTAATTGTGTATAAAATTATCATGTACTAAGATAAGAAGTTTTTACTACAACATAGGTGCTCAGTGAGGTTTGGGGGTCGGGTCGGCTTATTGGAATTAACTTATGTTGCAGCCACGCGATTATTTTGGTTCATATTTTCAGTTCAATTGACAGTGGCATAACTGTATGTATATATATATATATATATATATATATATATATATATATATAGTTATATATATATATATATATATATATATATATATATATATATATATATATATATATATATATATATATATATATATATACATAAGCATACAGTTAGTACCCCACTTAACGCGGTCAATTGAACCCAGAGGGTCCTGCTGCTAAGGAAAACCGCTGCTAAGTGAATAACAGAACATATGGGATTAATTCCAATAGAACCCAGTCCGACCCCCCAAACCCACTTTTGGACGACAAATAACTATGTTAGTAGTAAAAATTCTATCTTAACTTTATGGTGGCATGGAAAAAACAAGTAATATAGAAGAGGTTAGGTTAGGAAAGATAAAGGTTAACATAGGAAAAATAAAAGAATAGGTTAAAACGAAAAGTTTTAAGGAACACTCACGGTAGTAGAAGAGAGATGGCCGGCATACGGGATGGAGGCTGGTTCGAGGCAGAGGCAGATTATTGCCCTCAGGTGAATCACCATTACTAGGTGAATCACCACATAGGGGTGAATCAATATCACTGTCACTTACAGTTGTCATGGCTTCTGACAAATCCCTCAAAATCACCTTCACTATCACTATCACTGCCTTGGGCTGGCTGTGGTGGGTTATGGCTAAGAACTCCGGTTATGCTTTGCTGACGGGCTGGCTTTGATGTTTTCATGATACACCGTGATGTACGGCTCATAGCCTGCACCAGTCGGTTATGGAAGACGTCGCATGCTTCATCACAGTGTCGCGGGAAACGATGGTCTTAATTTTTTTTCTGTTAACTCTATGACACACTTAATATCACTATGACTTAAACTAGGTCTTCTCGGAGAAGGACGCACCTTCTTCCTCCTCTTCACTGGCGGGTTCTTCCAACATCTCGTCGGCAGTCACTTCAGATCTCTTGATCACCTCCATGATGTCTCGTTGGTGGTCTCGAGAAGCCTTCAGCTACACATTGAGCGCAGCTTCTCTGGCAAGGTCCACTGCTACTGCAACAGTCTGAACCTGACCAGTTACAGGTTCACTCCTCCTCTCACCTGGTATGCTATGCAACACATGTCTCCATGCGCGTGATTTAATCAGTAGCAATAGACAGATCCCATGCTCCACCAAGAAGTCTACAGCTTGTTTGACGTTAAACTTCTTCCAAAAATTGTTTGACGAGAAGTTCTTGAGTCGCCGCCTCTTGTTCCCTTGTCCTCGCTGCTTTTACTCGCTGTCGGTGTCACCCAGCTTACGCAACTCATCCTTGGTGTTGGTAGAGTCGCTCTAGGAGCTTGAATTTCTTTGTCGAAGTAATGCAGCTTTAACGCGAGATTAACTCCTGGTCCATGGGCTGATTAATGACGTGGTGTTGGGAGGAAGGAAGACACTTTTACGTTGGGGTGACGATCCATTAGTAGGGGCGAGTGTCCAGGTGTTGTCAAGGAGCAACAAAATGTTGAATGAACATTCTTGTTGCTCGCAGAATTTCTGCACGTCAGGAACAAAAAGTTGTCAAACAAGAAGAGGACAGAGAAGAGGACATCCACGCCTTTACGTAAGGAAGTTAGCCAGGACATTAAGCTTGTTCATAACTATTCTTGTAGGCGCATGTAAGCTATGTGGCTTTGTGAATCACCGATAACTTTGGTTTACAGGTACCGGAGGCATTGGTGGTGTAAAATAAACAGGACGGTGATGCTCTTCTGCATCTTCCGCCCCTTTACCTTGCTCGCAGACTGACAACGGCTGTCTTTGAAGGTAACTTTTTCCAGAAAGACCAGATTCGTCCATGTTAAACACCTGGTCGCCAGTGTACTGTCCTTCCTCCATAATCTCACGTAAAACGGAGGAAAATCTCTAGCCGCCGCACGGTCAGCACTTCGCTTCCTCACCAACAATGCTGATGTTGGTGACCTTGTTCCTCCTCTTAAACCTATGCAGCCAACCATGGAAGCATTGAAGGGTTTGGGCTCTTGCACTTAGTTTGTCACTGGAAGGCAAGATAGCTCACGCATGCATCTCTGCACTGAGCGTGTCCACCGCCATGTTGCGTCAGCGCCTGACGCACCAAATAACTCACCAGCAAAGTTTTCCACTTTGCTAGCACCGTTCTGGCAATACCTGGCTGGAAGCACCTGCAGACTTTAGAGCTCTGAAAGATTCCCTTTATGGGGCTGCATCCTTCTTTATTGTACGAATCGTAGATTCGTTGACGCCATGCTGGCGCAGCGAGATCAACTTGGCTGCCTTTCCTTTCTCCAAATCTTGAACAATTTGGTATCAGCTCGTAGCTTAATGAACGCCGGGTCTTCTTTGGTTTAGTGTCATGGGTCCAGGTAAGGAAAGGTTTCTCTCTGGGGTGGTGACCGCGGAAGCCATTTTACTGAACAATGGATGCGCTGCTAACACGGCGTGGCCTTGAGGGATGAAACTGCTGCTAGGTCAAGCGCTGCCTCCTCCCTCCCTCCTCCCGGGTAGTCACGCCATAATACTTTAAGCCAATTACAGCTAGCAGCAGAGGGGGTAGGGCTGCATAATAATCACAGTCCGAGACGCCATATGACGCCAGTGATAACGCAACAAAGACACACACTGCGCAACCTGGCCGCTTGCCTGCCGGAGGGAGGAGGAGGAGAGGCAGGCAGGCAGGCAGAGGGCTGGCGGGCGGGTGGCGCGTGGTCAAAATCTAAAATAGTATCCGAGCTAGACACTCACCGAAGCAGCTGTGGAAAAAATCCGCTGCTAAGTGAGCTTTTGGCAAGGCAATCACAGAGGCGAAAACGCTATGAAAAGCTGCTAAGCGGGTAATATCAGGTATATATATATATATATATAAGAGCAGGCAGCAGCAGGCGATATATATATATATATATATATATATATATATATATATATATATATATATATATATATATATATATATATATATATATATATATATATATATATATATATATATATATATATATATATATATATATATATATATATATATATATATATATATATATATATATATATATATATATAGTATATATATATATATAGCAGCAGAGTATATATATATATATATATATATATATATATATATATATATATATATATATATATATATATATATATATATATATATATACAGTGGGGTATGCTATAATGAATCTAATTGGTTCTAGAACCTTGTTCGTAATAGCATTCGTTCGTTATAGGATTAATCCGTTCCAGGCCCCCAAATACAACCACTTAACACTGAAAAATACAATATAAAATTGTAAAATTTGTAAAAAAGTGCATAAATATGCATCTAAACCCCTGAAATAAAGAATATCATTAATACTTGTAATAAAAAAACAATAAATTAGTAAAAAAAAAATTAAATAAATAATGTTCGTTGTAGGAGTTTCGTTCGTTATAGCATTCTCAATTTTATAGGTAAAACTGTTTGTTATAGGAATATTCATAGTAGGATCCGGCTCGCTATAGCAGACAATTTCACTGTGTGTATATATATATATATATATATATATGTAGAAAGTATAGGTAGAGTAGGTATATATATATATATATATATATATATATATATATATATATATATATATATGTTTAGAATCATTAATGGAAAATGGAGACAACGGAGTACCTTAGCTTTCGCCTTTATTCAAGACATCCGTCTCCATTTTCCTCGCAGATGACTAGATTTATCTTATCCACGTTTCATTGTGGATTTACATGAAATATATATATATATATATATATATATATATATATATATATATATATATATATATATATATATATATATATATATATATATATATATAGAGAGAGCAGCTGACCATTGGGAAAGAAAAACACGAAAGCCTCTAAGTGCCAGGCTCACAGCTTCAGGGTGAGTACAGCACCAGAGAAGGCCGGGTCACTTGACCATCTGACCTGACCACCAACCGTTGTGTGCTATTTAAAGATAAGTAGGGTCATTACCTAATACCTGACCATTGTGGACCTGGTCTCACCCTCCTCTGTATATATACACCTTGATTTGTATTACTCTCTCCAGTCTGTACTCACCCCTGAAGATGTGAATTACACGAAAGCGCTTGGGAACTTCGTGTTTTCTTCTTTCCTTGTGGTTATCAGCATATATATATATATATATATATATATATATATATATATATATATATATATATATATATACCTTACCTTTTGTCTAAGATTAGTACTTTCTCTGGTATCACATGAAAGAGCAGAGAGAAGACCTCTCAGCCACTGTGGACCTTCTGGCCCATGTATTCTACGTGCAAGAATCTGGAAAAAAGGAGAAATAAGCTCATAAAAGCAATCCTTCTGGGAGAGGTGTTACAATTTAACATAACAATAATACTGCAAACCAATAAAAAATATTAAAACAGCACAGTATTGTAATGACAATAATAAATTAATAATCTTGGTAATATTTGTTATTAAAAACATAAATAATTGTGATTGTCAGTCAAAAAAACATCACAGAATCTTAATCACTCAAGAGCTGAAAAAATTGTCTGTTATTAGCCATTAGAATATTAAATGTGGCATCCAGTAGTGAAGGGATTGTGGCTAAAGTATAAAGAACATCTTAAAACTGGAATATAAAGAACACTACTGGTAATTTCTGTGTGTGTGTGTGTTACAAAATAAGGGATGATTATACAGTAAAAGTCCAAAAATCCGGATGCCAGAAATCTGGACTTTTCGAAAACTCACTTTTTTTTTTTATTTAGCTGGCTTTTGTGTGTACAGTATATGTGCATGCATGAGCGCCACAGCTGCACAGCAACAACAAGCGACCATGCGGTCGCCACTTTAAAACGAGCAATTAAACTGTGACAACGTATGTAATTTTGAGTCCTACTGTTTCCATTTACAGAGTACTGTACAAGCCCATAATAATGGCTCCTATAGTAGATAAACTTCGTTGTGTGAAGAGAAAGAACACGTTGAAATGAGTGACAAACTTGAAATAATTAAGAAACTAGAATGTGGTGTGAGCAATACTGTTCTAATGGAAACATACAACATTGGAAAGTCTACAATTTATGATATAACAAAGGCAAAGAATAAAATTCTAGAATTCACAACTTTTTCTTTAAAACTGCTTGTTTTGATAAATGAGGCATACTATATTTGCTAATGAATAAACTATCAAAATGTACCTGTTCATCTCTTCTTTATTCCTCCTTAAATTTGAATTTTAAAAGTACTGCCTGAGAATCCAGAAAATCCGAAAATCCGGACCGACCCAATCCCCAAGCAGTCCTGATTTTTGGACTTCTACTGTACCGTACTCAAATTAATCACTATCTTACAAGAACTCTAGCAATGCAAGTTATATTCTCGTAAGTCAAGTCAATGGCATTTTATAAGCATTAATCTCTCCTCCATTTGTTGTGACTAGGAAAAGGTTGAAGGATCCATTGGGTTGCCTCACTGTTTGTCTAAAGTACTGACTCAGTCATGATATAATATTTATTAGTTTTTCATTAATTGGTACAGATACATTACTGTAATAATCTGTGTCTATTAATACCTGTACCCTTCATATACAATACAGTACAGTATAGTACTATGTATATACCTCATAGGTCAAAAATAAAGTCATTCAAGACATATTCAGGTCATAAGGCCCACTAATCCTCCACCCAACACTTGGTCAGGTTAGTAACGTGACTCAATAATCTCCCACCCAACCTTCATCACAAGTGTTAAGACATGATGAGTTATGTATTACAGTCAATTGAGTCAAGTGTGTAACAGAGACGTGACTGACCGCCCAAGCGACTAACGAGCCGATGAGTGGTGAAGATAAAGGTAACAGTTCTGTTCACGCCACTATCATATGGAGCTTTTGTTTTGTTAAATATATTTATTTAACCAAACTTTTTGATAAAGTATTCTGGACTACCTGTATTATAGTAAAGAAATTAAGTTTCTAACTTAATTAGAACTGTATTTACAGATTCCAGTACAGGTACTCCTCGGCTTACGACCTACTCGACTTACGACCACCTGTACATACGACCACCGCAGTCGTATAAAATATTTTAAAAATTAAGTATTTTCGAGTCCCGACGTTAGTGATCACGCTGTGTACTGACAAAATTTTAGTTTGTAATTCCCTTTAAAATGGCTGACAAGCATAAAAGTGAGAGTTCTCGTGGTGCTGAGAAGAAAAAGAGACACCCATTTTAGATTTTCTATGTATTATTTTCGCATTTTCGACTTACGACCAAATCGATTTACGACCTGGTCGTCGGTCCCTTACCCCATCGTAAGTCGAGGACTGACTGTAGTTTAGACTCAAGGAAAAACATCCCCAGCACCCAGAAATGTTCAGGGTAAGTGGGCTAGTGTGCGTCTGTGCAAGAGATCTAGTCTAGACACTCGGAAACTTCTCCCAGTAACCGGAAAAGGTTCTGGGGATAAGGAATTTTTTCGGGTTTGAGAAAGTCGTCTGGTTACCTGGAAATCTCTCATCCCCGGGAAGTGATCTGCATCAACTGAGCCGAATTAAAAAAGCTGAGAAAAATGCGTTTAAAGTTTTTTGAAGTTCAAACAACCAAAACTTTGTTGTTATTTAAGCTAGAGGGTTTTTTCTTATTGTGCAGCTCAATTCTTCTCCTAGCGAACTGTGAAAACTAGAAGTTAGTATTGTGAATAATTATTATTTTATAGCTACAGTGAGTTCTGCTATAACGCGTGTTTTGATAACGCGAATTTGCTCTAACGCGATTTATGAATTAGGAACGATATTTGTATAACGCGAACGCTTGTTTGCTATAACACGATTTTTGCTTACTATTTCTCCAATTTTGTGGTATTAACTGTGAATAGAGTAAAGAAGAATATCAACAAGAAGCGTTCTGGTGATAGAATTCCCGGTGATGATCGTAAAAGAAAGGATATAACACTTGAAGAGAAGCTCGATTTTATCAACCTCAAAATCACCCTTCTCCCCCATCAAGTAAAGTTTTACATTTACTGTATGATTTCATTATTAGATATGAATGTAACATTTATTTAGACTGTGCTATCCTTTGTGTTAGGCTAACTACTAAATTTTTTCGATTTCGAGTAATCTGCACCTAGCCCTATTTTCTCCATAAGCCCTGTTATTTCTATTACGCGATTTTCTATAACATGATATTTTACAAGAACACAATTATCGCGTTATAGCAGAACTACCTGTAGTTGAATGAGAATACTTCCCATGATGTACAGATGTTTGAGCTTCAAACCAACAATATTCGTGTTTTTCTGCATTTTTTTTTAATTGTTGGCTAATACTGTAAAACAAGTTAATGATCACCAAAAACAGCACTCATCTTGCACCCCCCCAAATGAAATAATAATAAAAAACTCATTTGCCTATCAGTATTTATCTTTCCGTCCCTATTATTAAACATTGACATTATTTGTGTTCCACGGGTGTGAGAGAAGTGCTCTGCAATATCTGTCCAATGTTAGAGCAAGACTCGAGTGAGGTCAGGCCTTCTGGTGTGGGTTCAGGAGCCCATTATTCCTGAGCGTGTTTAGTGACGCCAGTGCTCACGTGGACACCCCAGCCATGCTTGGTGATAGTGATTTTGGTGTTGATTCTGGTGATACAAGTGCTACTGGTGATGGTGCAGGTGATGTGCATGAGAATGTTGATGATGAACTACTTGGTGATGTTGGGGAGCCTAGTGGTGGTGGTGGAGCACCACATAATGCAGATTGCAGAGGTCAGGAGCGTACCCCCCCCCCCCCAAGGCCCTATAGAAAAAAGGCAGGATGAGAATGTGGGGTTGACGAGTGGGCAAAGGAGGTTGCCAAGTGTAAACAGAATTTGATTATGACGAGGCCATTAAAGTCATACGCACTCCTCAGGATTTACGCAACTTCAAGTTACTGCGATCTTCAGGGATAATAAAACGAAGGAACTAAACAAAGTAAGATGGTAATACTATTGTCATGATTCTGTTTTTACCAAAGATTATGAAAACTTTCTCCGCCTTTGTATTCGTATGTTAATTCCGTTGGGGGGAGGGGGGGGAGAGGTTAATGGTGGGGGGATGAGTGTAGTGGTGTTTCCTTATTATTACACACTATTATACTTAACAATATTATAAGTCTTTGGTAGATTAATATAACCTTTTCCTTTTCTATTTTTAATTTCTTTCTTTTCTTATTTTTTCGCCACCCCAGGCCCCATTGTGAGTCGATGACCTGTGCCCGTGTGGGCTTATCCCTGTAAAAACAAAAACAAAATAATAAATAATAAAAAAATTAAGAATTCGTCCCCGTGTTCAAGTATTTACCGGGAGGAGCGACTGTGGTCACCGACGCTTTGTCCAGAAACATAGCACCAGTGACGTCTGTATCTCCGTTCACTCTCTCACAATGATGGGATGAACAACGCCTGGATCCACTGTGGTCCGCAGTCATTTTTGCTCTAGAGTCGGGGAAGGGAAGAGGAGGAGGCTAATCTTCCAAAGTTACCTCTTCCGTTCAGTCAATTTGAACTACGACAGGACATACTCCATCGCTCCAAACAGACAGCTCAGGTAAATTGCTATGCAAATTTTCGTACCTGATACACTTCGTGCAACGACATTAACGTTGTACCATGATGCTCCTCAAGCAGATAACCCTGGATGTAACATATGCCTTACGGAAATCAGAAAAAATATTTTTGGAATACAATGAAAAGAAATAGAGCAACACATTGCTAAGCGTTTATCGTGTACTAGCGAACCTAAATGGCCCTAGAGCGGGCACAGTCACGTATGCATCGCGTATTCTTAAAGATTGTGCTGCCAGGCATACATTATCTTGTGAATTTAGTCAATATTGTACAGTAACAATGGACCTAAGTGCAAACCTGTATTGTACATGTACTAAATGATTACGGTACTAAAATTGTTATGTCTATTGCAAATATAGCTTGTTTATACAGGTATTCAAATAAATACTTTCTTACAAGAATCCCTCCAATGTAAGTTATATTCACCCAGGTCGTTTGGGTGGCAAATTATGAGAAGAGCTTAGTCACTCTTAAGTAATGATAAACACGCAGGCCTTCAGCTCCAACTGTCACATCTTACCTTAAATAAATAAACAAACACCACATTCTGTCAACTCACCCCCCCCATGCTCGCTAGCTACCTCCCTCCTTGTGTTCCCAGACAAAAGGTTGGTGATAACTTTATTCTTTAAGGTGTTTATTTTATATAATATCTCAGACTAAAGTTAGAGATTATAATTTGCATTGCTGGAATCCTTGCGAGACAGCCAATAATTTGAATATAAACGTCGTATATTTTGCTAGAGATAAAAATGTAGTACATTATTGTACAATACTGTGTAGTACATTTTATAATACAATATAAAGTTTTCAACTGTATTTTTGGGTAGATTTACATAAATTTCTTCATTTATTTTCATCCATTTACATGCACACACCGTACTAAAAGAAATAAATGACCTTAGTGCAAAGCTGGAGTGTACATGTACTGTACTAATTTCATTACAGTACTAAAATTGTTGTGTCTAGTGCAAATTAGAGCATGTTGCTATTCAAATTAATCAGTGTCTTACAAGAATCCCATATGTAATTCCAAGTGACTTCTGGCATTTTTAAGGTGGGAGGAGTGAGCTGTTTGAGACTTGGCTCAAACATTACCAGCACACACCCCCTGCGCTGGTTGGCTGGCTCAGTCCCTCCTCTCACTGAGGTTTTGCAACTTTTGTTTTGCTTCTTTATATCTGGACAGGACTGTTGTGATTATTTTGTGTTTGAATCCTCGCATCCTATTTTGGTCAAGAGATAAAAATTGTTGTTCATTAATGTACAGTACTGGTTTTCAGTTAAAAAACTGTTGTATTACAATAATATTCCCTCCTAATTGACTTGATTAAATACTTGAATGGAAATATACAATATTTTTGTTGAAACTACCTGCGATTCAGTGTAAAGTGTCGTAATAATAAATGGTAAACAATTTGCCTTCGGCACTCCATGTTTCAGGCACGGCGAGCCTCAGTTTATAGAACGTAGAGTGTTTTTACTGAAGGCTTTGTTGTTCCAATACCCTCAAAAACTTGGGTCGACCTATAAACAAGGAATATCATAAATTAACGATTTTTTGGTAAAAAAATCAGGGTCGACCTACAATGCTGATGTCAACACAAGCGTGGTTACAGCGAGACTGACTGAGTGAGGGAGCGCAGGGGTGGGGTGATGACGCGCTATGCGTGTGTGCGCGTGAGGTAGCGGGAGCAGGCGGCGTCCAGTGTTCGGTGCCGCACGCGATTTGAATGGCGCGCGATTTGAATGAACTTCAATTACATCAATGTACAGAATATTCCTCCGGAGGGGCAATCCGCATATTTGCGAATCCGTGTATGCTAAACCCGCGTATGTGAAGGGCCAACTGTATTAACTAAATTATTAACATGAAGCACGGATTTACAGTGTGAACACTGGAATAATCACACTACATCCTTGACCACCGCAAGGTCGAGACCTATTCAGGTGCTGCTCCTGCTGCGGCCCCCCTTGGCCAATGTTCGCCCCATTCCCAAGGTCCCTCACCCCGACCCATCCTCACCACCGGGATATCAACATAATCAAAAGTGACAATTTCGTTTCAGAAAGAAGTGGGACCAGTGTTGAACAATTATGAACAGTGTTTGGGCCAGTGAATTCAGCACTAGACAGTACCAGTGAGAGCCGTGACCCATCAGTGGGATAAGCACCTCTGGGAACTGCCCGCCATCTTCTGACAAGGAGGTGCTAATCAGTCCACCATGGGAACAACAGCAGGGTGGGGTGCTGTGACACCACCCCACACCACCCGGTGTCCCCATGACCACGTGAGGTCCTTCATATCAGCACCCGAGGACGAGTTACTACACCACGTGAACACAACACCACACCACCCAGTGTCTCCATGACCACGTGAGGTCCTCCATATCAACACCCGAGGACGAGTTACTACACCACGTGAACACCTCACCACCTGGTGTCTCCATGACCAGTCCAGGCCCGGGCCATCAACTGTAAACTATAATAATTTGTATGTTCAGTTCATGTTCCTTCGCCTTTCAGTAATGAAAGCTTTTGTTAAATGACCCACCCACCCCATGTCTTTGTATGTAATAAATCATTTTTGTCCAATGTATATTTTCAGCCTTCGAGCTGCCGACTTTTTCAATAAACTGCAAATTATAATTATTATTTTTATATTTTATATAAATATTTTTATATTTATATTTATATTAACAAATTAATTGCATGGAGCACATTCCATTGTGATGAAACTATTTGGAACGTACAAATAGTGGTGCATAATGCATGTTTAACACTCATTGTTCTAGGGCTCAATTAAATTTATTATTGGATTTTAAGTGAATGTTGGAAGAGCATCAACAAACAAATACGGCACCCACACTGGTCGCTTACACAGCGCTGAGCGCCTTCGTACCAAATTTTTTAAAATTATTGTACATTTATCATTTTCATGGGGGAAATGGTGTACTACCTGTAGTTACATATATTTGTACCCTGTACTCTCACATATGATTATTACCTAACTCAAGGTTTATCTTATGTGCAGTAAAGTATTTTTGGTACAGTACAGTGCCTAGATTATCCGACTAACCCGCTTTTCCGACCCACCACATCCCCCATATAGGTCAGCTAAACGAGGGTTTACTGTATCATCCAAATAACATCTGTAGAAAATTGTTTACAAATTCAATCCAATATGAATCGTAATAAACATGCCCGATGAGATTGTCATCGTTAATTGACATGTAAACAAAGACCACAGACGCTCTCGTGTAGCAAATGATGTGAACCAAATCATGGTTCCCACGGGTGATTCGATCACTCCATAATTATGGTAAATAATTTATTTCTTTGCCTATAAAGCACATAGAGACTCGAAATTACTGCCACATGATCAGTGTTTGCAATGTTTATACCCCATTATTTCCCTCTTCTTCCATGCCCTGCCCACTAACAAGTAATTTATGATCAAAGGATTGCCTCATAAGAAAAAATACTACAATGTTGTCATTTAGATTTTATTACTCGGTATATCATCCAAAGATGCTAACCATCTGCTCCATCGTTCCCTGTTTTCCACACATGTGCAGAAGAGCAGCGTGGATATTTTGGACTGAGGTAAGAGATAGGCCATGACACCAGTTAAGAAGCTAAGCAAGGCCAGGTAGGTTTGGTTGGTTAGGTCAGTTTCTATTAGGTTATGTGCATTGTTGTATCATCTTTATTACTTACTTAGAGAACATCTGGGAAAAAATTAACAAAATTGAACAACTGCCTCTGGTGTTAGCCATCTGCTCCACCATTACCCACAGAACTATTCTTTACTATTTCATGAAAGAGGTCACTCTTTGGTTCCTTTCATGTCACTACAGTAATAAGTTTATTAATTAGATTAGATTTGGTAGATTAGGTTGGTTTGGTTTGGTTTTTAGGTTAGGTTAATATTTGCAACACTGCTGCACTGTTTTATGAGTTTCAACTCCATACAGTATTTTCCTTCTTGTTCAAAGCCCTGTCCACTGTGGGGTATTAATACTGAAGGAAGTATGAGCCATAACTCAAATATGGGTATTATTTTTAGTTTCAGTCATCCGGGGAATCTTAGGAGTTTAACTACAGTATTTATATATGCCAGGGGGGCATATATAAATGCCATAAAAGAAGTGTCTTAGAATAGTCTGAAATTGGTATTATTGCGTTTACACACCGTTCATTCCTACCACTAATCTATTATATTCGAATAAGACATCTAATTATAAGATAATTTTCATCCATTACATTACCGGCGGAAATGTATAATAACGGAGATAGGATATCCAAAATTTTCTATATTTTCTTCCATTAACCTCCAGCCATTATCGCCTGCCTCACCTCCAACACTGCGTGTCTCCTTCATAAATCATCACGCGCATGTGTTCCTGTACACGTCACGCAGCCAATCAAAAGCGTTTTTGCTTTTGGAACCAATTAAAATGATTTTGGGTTTAATTCGCAGTATATTTGGCCCAATCGAATTCGAGTTTTATTTTGGGTCGCTCATATTTTGAAATTCAAGTTCAGTTCCGACCATGGAAGTCTGCGATGGGTGTCACTTAAAGTATATGGAGCTGATTGCGAGTTTTTGGGAAAAAAACGTAGAAACTATAGCATTTTTTCGATCGCATGGTGTTCTTCCAACCTCGGTAAAGTGTACTAAGAGCAAGACTGAATGTAAATGTCGCAAAGACCAACATATGTGGCGTTGGGTAAGAATCCCAGAATGCAACAACGAACAAGAACCAGGCCTATAAGGTAAGAAATAGGCGATTCAATCATATGGTGAGAGTCAGTTAGGTTAGGTTAGGTTTTGGTGAGAGTCAGTTAGGTTAGGTTAGGTTTTGGTGAGAGTCAGTTAGGTTAGGTTAGGTTTTGTTTTTGTTTTTCTAGTGTTTTTTGGTGTGTTTTGTCATGATTTTCTTTTCGGAAAACGTCCAACGAAAAAACTTCGGAAAAAAAAAACGGCTAATTTCCGCCAGAAATGAAGGTCATATTCGGTCTAAACACTCACAAATACACGAGAAAAATATATTTTTTACTTTCTAACAGAACGGTGTGACAATGCAAATTCACCCTGAAATTTGCAAAAAACGTGTTTTTAGTTAATAAATTAATTTGGGCCCATTACTACAATAACACCAAACTTCGGTCTGACTAATTACCCAAATGTAGCCGCAATGAAGTCAAATAATGGTCCTACATGAATAAATCACTGCCAATCACTTCTCGATTATTATTTGGTGTCAGAAAGTCACAAAAAATTGATAAACTTAATTTAATCTGAGCTGTGTTGTGTTAGGTTAGGTTAGGCGCATCCACTCGATCTATTAACTCAGATTAAATTAAGTTTACCAATTTTTTGTGACTTCATGACACCAAATACTAGTCGAGAAGTGATTGGCAGTGATTTATTCATCTAGGACCATTATTTGACTTCATTGCGGCTACATTAGTCAGACCCCCAGACTTGATGGTACTATAGCAGTTTCACTCCCAATTGGGTTAGAGCAATTTTGGGTTCATCAAATAACTCAAACACGACTCATTTACGACGGAAATTATGGTCAAATATAGAATGAATCACACAAAATACCATGGGGGGGGGGGGGAAGAGGTGTCTGTCAAAACGTATTGGTAATAAATCTGTAATATTAGTTGATCAAGACTTACTTCTAACACCCATTCATCTTCAGTATTTAACACTAAATCTTCCAGTTCTCTCCAGTTTTCTCTTTCTATAAGATCCTTGACACGTTTCCCTAACTTGTCACTCATGATCTTGAATAATAATAAAGAACAACTGTCAACAGGTCAAGGTTCCCGCCTCCTAGTTTAACAAATGACACTTTAATTGCGTCTGTTTATAATTATGTTGTTTGATCTATTATACTCAGTTAGTTAATTGCTCTAGATTATATTGTTTTTAGTTTCTCTTATCTTATGTTTATTTGTGTTGAGTTTGTTTTGTTACTGGAAGTTTAATCATTCTAAAGTTGTAATTACTGTTTATTACAGATCTATGGATACTGATGTTGCATTAATTGAGATAAGTTTTAACCCTTTGGCTGCGAGAGGTTACCCTAAGCTATATAAAATCGTCTGGCGGTAACCAGAATAAAATAGCAAGGACGGAGAAATGAACTAGCGTCAAATACTGTTATCCTCTTCACCACTGATCGGCTCGTTAGCCGCTTGGGCGATCGGTCACGTCTCTGTTACACACTGTTGGCAAGTACTGGGTGTGCACCGGCTCCTGAATGTACCTGAACCCGATCCAGTGTTGGTCAAGTCTTGTCTTGAAAGAGCTCACACTCGGTGCCGTCACAACACTTTCTGGCAGAGTGTTTCAAGAGTTCACAACCCTCACTCCAAGAAAGTTTGCCCTCACAGTTTCCTGGACTGGCGGCTTCTTCAATCTTGAGCTGTGACCCCTTGTGGGGTCACAGGAGCTCCCCGGCATAAAACCGTGTTGGCTCAAGGTATTGGATATTTGGACCCATATTCTGGAACGTTGAGGTAATATCGACAATATTTACCTAGATTTTGCCATGGCTTTCGACAGTGTACCCCACAAAAGGCTGAAAATCAAACTGGAAGGGTACGGAATTCGGGAAGATGTCCTAGCGTGAATAGAAGACTTTCTACATGACCCCCGTGACCCTGCTAATATGTCAGCATAACTCCTCTTAGCAACCACCTCCATTCTAACGGCTACTTCTTCAGTCTTAGCAAGGATCTCAGTCGAGAGTCCTTACTTGGAGCTGGCGGACGCTTGCCCCACAAGGGGTCACAGCTCAAGATTGAAGAAGTCCCAAGTCCAGAAAAGTGTGAGGGCAAACTTTTTCGGAGTGAGAGTTGTAAACTCTTGGAACAATCTACCAGAAAGTGTTGTGACGGCACCGAGCGTGAGCTCTTTCAAGACAAGACTTGACCAACACTGGAGCGGGTTCAGGTACATTCAGGAGCCAGTGCATGCCCAGTACTTGCCAACAGTGTGTAACAGAGACATGACCGATCGCCCAAGCGGCTAACAAGCCGATCAGTGGTGAAGAGGATAAAAGTAAAAGTAAAAGGCAATCCTGTACAAGGTTGTTTCGTAGTAGATCTTCCATTGCAGCATCTCTGATAATACTCTCAAGTGCTTTACATATTATGCTGGTCAGGTTCACCGGTCTATAGTTATTCATGGAGTGATGATCGCCCTTCTTGAAGATAGGACTCACATAAGCTACTTTCCATTCACTGGGGACCTTTTGTTCATCCAGGCATTTACAAAACAGGATCTTCAGGGGCTCGGCAAGCTCGTTGTAACTCTCTTAGCACTCTAGGATGCACCATGTCAGGGCCGGGACTCTTATGGACCTTTAGCCTGGACAGTTTATTTCTAATACCCTCTTCTGTGAACACAATGTGGGTCAGTGCTGTGTCGAACTGTTTGTCCTCAAATGCAGGAAGGTTAATTGCATCCTCTCTTGTGAACACCAAGGAAAAGCAGCTGTTCAATGCCTCAGCTTTGTCCTGGTCAGAATCTGAGTAACTACCATCTTCAAACCTCAGGTCTGATACTCCTACTCGCGTTTTCAATTTCAACTTTGCATAGCGGTAAAACGCCTTTGGGTTTGACTTGACCTTGCTTGCAACCAGCCTCTGGAACTCCTTTTCAGCCCTTCAACACTCTATCTTTGCTTGGTTTCTGGCTCTTGCATACATCTTCCTGTCCTGCTCATCGTTTGACCGAACCCACGTCATGAATTCCTGGGTTTTCTTCTTAAATTTGTCGACCGCCGCATGGTTCGTGTGTAGGGATCCCCTCGTATTCCTAGAGGCACTGGGTTTGGTCTTGGGTATATATTTATCGATCATATGGGTCACTTTACCCTCCTCGTTTGTTATAATGAGGTCAAGTGGCTTGGGTGTTTGCTCCCCTCTGTAATGTGTCGGGTCTCTAACACGTTGGAACAGAAAATTATCTCTCAGAGTTTCTACAAAAACAGTAGCAGGGTTATTTAAGTCATTTGGGGTGGACTCGTTTCTCCAGTCGATGTCGCCATAGTTAAAGTCCCCTATGATATGGGGGACTCAAAAGAAGGCATAGCTACATGTTTTGTGGGCTATTGAGCGTAATATGAATCGTCTGATTTTACGTTAACGGACGTGTATGACCGTGGTCATTACAGTGAAAATTATAACAATGCTTAAATTGTTGAAACCATCCTTGGCTGGCTGTAAAGGTCTCTTCATTCGATCTTTCACCCTCTGTTTCCTTCCTGTCGTCAAACAAGGATCTAGCCTTATGCTGGATAACAATAAGGCTCACAAGGGTATTGTGTTGATTCTGGTCCTCCATCCACATCTTTTCCACCTTCTCTATCACAGTGCTTCTAGTACGAGCTGTCTTAGTACCACTTCCAGCACTCACCTTAATCTTGTCTGTGTTGGTCCAGATAGTACCCACCGCTGTGGGGGTTAGACCAAGCACAGTGGCTATGTCCACAGCACGTTCCCCTTTCTCAAATCGGGTTAATACATCCATTTTCGTAGCAGGAGTGATGGTCTTACGTTGGTTCGAGTACAGTTTTTAGAGCAAAAGCACTTAAGCACACACGAATGATGTGAATTCGTAACAGAGACTGGCTTGGTGTTGCTTGAAGACGCTGTGACATTCCACGAGTGAGAGGTACGTAGCGCGCCGAGCCGAGAGAGAGTAGCGCGGTCAGACAAGAGAGGGTGATGTGCCGTAAAAGGTAGTCCGTGACAACGCAAAACGTCGTACTGAGTCGTCGGGACGTTAAACGAATTTTGGGTCTCTAAAGATTAGAAACGTAGTACCAAAACAATGCTAAGCGGGGCGTCGTTATACGAGGATTTAATGTACAACAGTTCTACAACACGTACTAAATTGGGTTGATGTACCTTCAGTAGTGTTTCAAACTCCTCTCTCTTATCAAGGAACGTGTCAGTATTAGTGTACATAGACTTTCAAACTGGAATTTGTTCTCAGTAACGTCTTTGATCTTGGTAGTGACCCCAGCCTCCCTACATTCTCAGCAGCTGCAGCATTTGCTAAATACTCTGTATTTTGTGGGGTGTGGACAGAGATGACATTGTTTACAGGGTGCTTGCTTGCCTCCTCCTGGGTGGGAGGTAGTGTGGGTGGGGGGTGTCCTGCTGTGCCGTGGCTCTGTGCTGGCGCTCTTGCTCCCTTTTCCCCAGCATATACTGTGCTGGTTCTAGATTACTGTAATCCATTCATTCGTCAATGAGTTATAATGGAATTATATTTTTTTCTCTGTAAGTTAAAATTCCATTAAAAGCTTTACATTTCAGACTCTTTTAATCTGTAAATTACCACTTTTGTGGGTTTTTTTTTTACTATTTCACCACTTATCTTTTACTATACAGTACTGCACTTTTAACCTCTTCACCACTTATTGGCTCATTAGCCACTTGGATGGTCAGTCAATTCTCTGTTACGAACTGTTGGCAAGTAACGGCTCCTGAATGTATCTGTACCTGTGCCAGTGTTGGTCAAGGGTGGCCTTGAAAGAGCTCTTACTCAGTACCATCACAACACTCTCTGGCAGATTGTTCAAAGAGTTTACAAATATAACTGAAAAAATTTGCCCTGACAATTTTCTTTACTTGTGGCTTCTACAAACTTGAGCTGTGACCCCTTGTGGGGGAGGCATCTGCCAGCTCCGGGTATGAACACTAGATGAGTACTGCCCTCTTAGATGTTTATAAACTTCATTTGTCACCCATTGCTCATCTAAAACATAAGCTGGGCAACTGCAGGCATTCTAATCTCTCTGAGTAACTAAGGTTCCATAGTGCAGGCACCAGTTCAGTGGCCCTCCTTTGGACAATTTCAATCAACCTAGTCTTAAGCCGTTTGGGCAGCAGGTCTATCCAGTGTTAGTACAGGAGAAAACCAGAGTCCTCTGCCTGGAGGAAATGTGTGATGTTTGCTAGGGTCACACTGGATAACACCCTTCTCATGTGTGTCTGAGCCGAGATTTGAACCCTTGACATATTGGTGAGAGATACAAGTGTTACCACTGCACCACCATCACTAATTTCCAAGGTGTTTAAAAATAACCAGTGCAGTAAATGTTTATTAATATTATAAAAGTAAAATATACATAATGTGCTAATGTGCTGACATGACTCATTAAATGTGGCATTTAAAAATCTTTGGTATATGAATACAATGCACACAAAACAATTTGTATAAAAATAACTGTGCTGCTTACATAGTCACTAACAGTATGGACGGATTTGGTTGTTATGAGATTGACAGTCTTGTAGGAACATTAATACTGTGGATGGATAGATATTTCCTTAATGTGTGTACCTGCCACTGTAAAAGAATTCAATCCCTAACACTGGACGGAGAATTTTATATTACACAGTACAATACTGTGTAATGTACTAGTTAAGCACAAAGCTTCATATAAAATAACTTACTTGTAGACCAAATAGACAAGTATATAAATATACTGTGAGGGAACTCTTTTTCACTTTGAGATACAGTAGTGGACTAGTATAGAAAAATATGTTTGAGAGATGTTATTCATGTTGAAAGAATGTCCCTAATTATACAGTCAATATCAGTAAGGAGGCTATACAGTACTGTCATTAAACTTGACTTGTGACATTAACTGTACAACCAATAACAAAGGATAAAAATCATCACTATACTGTACATTAATAGAAGCTATATTGTACTGTACTTTTTAGTGAATATGTGAAGCAAGTTTACACCCTTGTCCCTGACACTGGACGGAAAATGTTACTCTGCCATTAAAACTCTTTGCACTATACAAGCATTGGCCACTAACTGTGAACGAATAAAGCTTTGCAGTGTCTTATATGAATTTTCAGAACCTGTGTTACCAACAATAAATGTGGATGTACATATTTGTCATTGCAA